AATTAGTATTTCATATGGACGAGTGTGCCTTATGTCACATGGGGACAAGAGAGCATGTCTTTAAGGTGTACAAGTCCTGCCTTTACTAAAAAACTTTATTTTTTTTTATAATATTTTCAAAATCAAATGGTTAAAACAGCATTGGGCCCATGTTCCCTGAGACCAAGGCTGAATTAAGAATCAAAACGCTTACAGAACCGGGCCCTCATATAAAAAACAGCCAAGTTTGTAAGGCAAATTTCACTTAAGATGCAATTTAATAACTTGTTTTTTTACTCTAACCTCAAAGCTGTTGTTCAGCATGAAGAGTGTGACGAAACATCCTGAGCCAAGATATTCCAAGAATGTGGAACCACAATAGAGACTCTTTGACTTAAGAGGCATTCAAAAGAGTACTGGCCTAAGCCCATCAATATGTGACTTTAACAGCTACATAATCAAACTCTGAGAACAACAGCACAAATGTTCTTTCATTTCAGGCCAACAGGGGAAAACACTGTGCTGTGTCCCTGAGAGTGCTGCTCTGACAGGTGTGAGAACATGGTCAAGGGCGCGCTCACACTAAAGCACACCTGCTGGTGAAGTGCATGATGGGAGGTGGAGATGCCAGCTCAAGCCAGAGGTTAAAAATGAGGGGAATTTATGATTGAGGGTATTATATATCCTGTCAATGTTTTCCATTTCTTTTTCTTAATCATATAAACAGTTTTGTTGTTTCCTTCAAAAATATACCAAAAAATTCAAACAATGGTGAAACATTAATACTCTCCATGTTTGTCAGCAGAAAAGAAGAGGATGACTAGATTACAGCCCTTGCAGCTTCATTTGACACCGGTGTTTGGTCCAGATTGTCTTCTTTTTACTTTTCACATTTATTGATAATCAACAGTAGAGACATATAGCAAACAAAACAAAGAGAGAGCAGGAGGAGAATATCTGCAGCAAAGATGGTTAGGCACAAACTGCTTTAAAAGCTGTCAAAGCTGTGATCCAGTATGGAAACCCTCAACTATCCTGCTTCTGAACTGGATTCACACAACCCATACAGTATTCAATGCATACAGTAGAACATGAATGCAATGTCATTCCTATGTGTATTGAAGCACTTATAAATTCACAAGATTCACATTAAATTTTTTCAGAAGACACACTGGATCCTCCACAAGAAGCTCATAATAAACAATCTGAAACAATAACACGCAGCTGCCCTCTAGTGGTACAGGTAGGACTCGCAAAATTGGCTTTTTTCACTCAAGACCGTCTGAATCACATATTAGAAAAGCACAGATGTAAATAACAGTTAACAATACTGTGCATGCTGACTCACTGAAAAACCTGAATATAACAGTGCCATAATTTGTGTTTTTTCTACTACAATAAGAGAAATGTCTGTGAAAGGGCATGCAGCTACTGAATTGCTTTCTCTGGCAGTTCTACACAGTGATTAAGACTTCTCTATCTTTATTACTCTACTACTGTCTTGTTTTTCTTACCTGTTTTCCATTGTTCTGCATTGTATCCTCTTCCTCTTGGCTACCTGGGAACTCAGGTTTGGCACTGTTGACGGGCTTTTGCCAGCCAGATACAGTCATATTAGGCTGGGCATCCTGCCTCCTCTTTAAGCACTTCCTGTTCCTGCTCAAGTTTCTACGGTGACGACTGACCAGGAATTCCTTATATTGTAATGTCTCAGGAAAATCATCCTCCTCCCCCTCTTCGGTGGTGGATAAGGAGGATTCTCCACCATCGGAGCTCCCGCTGACAAAGGTCACCTGGTCATCGGCGCTACAGTCATAATCACAGAACACAATGGCGCTTGGCTTGTGCTTTATTACTTTGAGCAGATCCAGTGAATGCTCCTCTGCTGCATTCACAGGTGGTGGCAGATGGTTACAACTTCTATCACACAGGGCTGGTGAAAAGGCAGAAAGCAACTCATCAGGACAGCATGTCTCTGTGGGGCTCTCCTCTTGTTGCTGAGGTGAAGTGACTCCACAATGTGTGTCCATCTCATCCAGTTTTAACGCCTTCCATTTTTGAGCATGACTGCCCAAAGGATCCAGAACACAATTTAGAAGAGGAACAGGTTCAGACATGGCCCGTATCTGTCTGTTGGAGCTTTGAGTCAAGAGGAGAACTTGACCTTACAGGTCACCCAGAGGGACACCCAATGCCTGGGGGTAAAGGCTTCAGCTATTGGACCTCCATGCAAAATAGGGAGCCAGACCTCATGTGTATGTTCTTTTCTGGTCAGCAAAATGTTGGCTCATTCAAGCAGAGAATGAGGAACTGACAGTTCAGGTGAAGCTGGTAAATTGAAGGTATGAGTGGATGATATATTACTCTGTGAACCACACTTGAATGCCCCAGAAAAATCCTTTGACACTGGGCTGGAGAGAGAAGACAAGAAGAAGAAAAAACAACTTACATTTGGGACAAATTTGCCATTTGTCATGTGTTTCTGTAAATGGATGTACAGTGTATGTCTGAATTCAAATCTGGATTATGGTCAATTAACTTAGTGAGATGAGGCCCTGTTCTCCAGTTTAACAATATTTAACCTCTACTGGCAGAAAATGAAAAAAAAAAAAATCTGTTAAACATTAAATGTACCGATATGACTAGAGTATAAATTGTAAAGAAAAATGTATTTGCAAACATAATGACATTACTTTACGCAGTAAAAAAAAAAATTCCATTATTTTAAAACTGTGAAACCAAAAGAATCACAAATCACTCTGTAGCTCTCAGAGCTTATTTCTGATAAATGCATTTTGCTTGAACACATTGTTTTTTCCTGCTGGATATTTCTGGCCGTAGTCAACACACCCTTTCCCCGCCTGACGTGCGGTCCTTTCTTTTACACATGCAGTTAACATCCTGATAATTCTATTAATATAAAACACAAAGCATATATATTTGTCAAGGTTTCATGGTACACACGTACAAACAAAGAGTCATTTGTTACCAGGACATGTGTCAGCTGGTCTGTGAAAAAATATTACCGTACATTAACTTAAAAACATCTTTTAACTTAATGCCAATAAAAACCAACAATTCACATAAAGAGGCATTTGAAACTTTGACTCGTTTCTTATCAAATATTCTATGAAGTTTTAAACAAAACAAAACTCATATTTCAACATACCAGATATTTTTGTACAGAAGCCGTGCGATCGAAGAGCACATCCGATACAGAAGTGTGAAGATCCAGGAGCAAACATGAATCTCCAGCTGATGCAACTCTGAGTTTATGTCTGAAAAGTTTTGAAATGCTGTGAGGGGAGGAGAGAAGAAGAAAGGGCTGAGGAATGCTTTGCCCTCCTACATTACCTCAGAAAGAAGACAGGGAGTTCCACAAACAGGTGTTTGGGCAATCTGTGCAAGAGTGTGTCTGTGTGTGTGTGTGTATGCGTGTGTGTGTGTAGATATCGTTATATGCTTGTGCGGACAAATATTAGTTTGATAAAATCACTGTGAAGAGATTTTAGCTGGTCCTCTCTTACTGGCACAGCTTCACAGGGCTGTTTGAAGGTAAAGACTTGGTTTTAGGATTAGGTGTAGGTTAGGGTTAGAGACTGGAGTTGGGTAGTAGTGGGTTCTGTGTTCATGGACTGTAATCATTATTTTCCTGATAAATGCAACCATGTGTAAAAGCAAAAAAAGGGGGCTAATTATGCACTTAAAGGGTTTGTTGTTGAAAACAGATTAAAAAGCTGCATGCACATTAGCCTTAGACTAATGGATGTTGATTAAAAGGCTCAGGGTCTGTGGCACACCTTTCCCCCTCCCCATTCCTCCTTTTCACTGATCGCTGCGTGATATATCTCAAGGCAAAGGATTTTTCACCTTAGAAGCACATTCCTCGACAACACATGAGGTAATGCTTCAAACGTATCTCCTCTAAATCTCTCTCGGGTCATATTTTTATGTAAGCTGTCTATGAGCCTTAATCAACAACAAAGGTCTTATGGTTCTTGCAAAGCTGTCGATGGACTGTGGAACTTGTCCAGTTAGCCAGCACACACTGAATTTTGTGTTTTGAAGGGAATGCTTTTGGTCAGGACTAAAGACCTGCTATTTGTATGTTAACCCTAACGATGATTCTGCCTGTTGAGGCGTGTTTGACCCTCAAGTTCTCAGACAGAAGACATCTGGTCAAGGAGGAAATGCAGGCTAATAAGAGTTAAATGTGTAATATTTCTAATCTGATTTGCTATAATATCTCCCATCTACAAGCAGAACGTGTTGTTCCCAGAGTGCTAGCTAACTATGCAGATTTGCTGAATTAAAAAGCTATTTGGCTGTAATTCACCAAAAAAAAAATAAAGGAGTTCAGCAATGGTACATTGTATTTGCAGCAATCAAGGTATTACAAAATGACATTTGGAAAAATAAATCTGGAGATGTCACCATTTAGCTCACTGTGACTTCTTTTACTTGGAGTCAGACAGTTTTCCCTGGTTTGTCACTGTCAAAAATGTTTTTACAGTATGCCAAGCTTTTCATATGAAAGGACCCCAAACCAAATGCCACTGAAAGTTTCAGTGAGCAAACTGACCTTTTCCTCCCTAGTGTGTTGAATAAAAACTACTAGACCACACAGCATTGGTAGAGAGAAATCAGGCAAGCGAATAATAAAAATACACCTATTCCTGAATCAAACTGAGAATTGAATGAACTTCATAATTTAATAAACTTGATAAACCTCCACGGTCCAGCACTGCTGTGACAATGGATGCATATCAATTTAACTCAAACACACATTTCAATACAAGCAACACCAACCAGCTGAGACATGCTCCTCCATATATAACATTCCTCTCACAGAGAGGGTCAGGTTGGAGAGCAGCAGGGCAGACAAAAAGAGAAAGGAAGACAAGGTGAGACTTGACAGGTAGATGCAGTATACACAGAACAACATATTTAGAGAAAAGGCATGAGGAGGAAGTTAATGAGTATCTATAACAACATGGTTGTTGTTTCGTATACAAATCAATTCTGCTGAAAGAAAACACATAAAAGTTAATAAAGACTGGCTGCAGGGAAAAACACTGAAACATACTCACTGAAATAATATAATAATATGCAATCTGTTATCTTGACAGTGTGTACTGTGCAGTGTGTACTGTAGATACTGACAGTAAACTCTACCATGCATGTAGTCAGATAAGGAATGAAGTATTGAACAATCATGTTACTGCATGACAGAAAATCTAGTCTGGAGAGGGAGGAAAAAATTAAAAACTGATCCAATTTTTTTTTTGTATGTGAGCCTGACATGGTGAGCTTTTGTTTCTGTTGCATCTCACATTTGATTTGATTTGATTTATTTATTCTTTCAAACATGTAACAACAGTCAGTATGTAATCACACATAATTCCAGACATATCCACAAAAATATTTTCAATTTGCTTATACCTAGTACATGCTTGAACGGAGTAGGAAGAAGTTAGACTTATCCAGTCCTACCCCCCAACATCATCTTGTCATCATTGGTTTGCAAGCAGTATTACTACATGGATACATATTCTACATCCACATTCCCATCTGATTAATCATTAAGCCTGTTCTTGCCCATATCTTGATTGACACATACCTTTATATCTGTGTTTAAACTCATCAAT